GCAGCTTCAAACGGCGGCGGCGGCTCCAAACGGCAGAGGCAGCTCCAAACGGCAGAGGCAGCTCCAAACGGCGGCAGCAGCTCCAATGGCACTCCAAACGGCAGCGGAATGGGCAGAAGGGAAAGCAACAGCGGCAGGTGCCAAAGGTCTTGGGTCTGCAGCAAAGGTGTTTGGTGGGAGTAGGGAGCTCGCTGCGCTTCGCCATGATCGCCCGTTAGGAGCGGCTGGTGGCGAGGCTGCCCGCGGGACGCTCTAGATGAGGATGAAAGGGGGAAAATTAAGTTACCCCCTAAAAGACGGCCTAGCCGTTTTTTCGGGGCTCAAAAAAAAATAAGGCCCGGCCTTATTATGTGAGAAACACGGTAGTTGTTACAGATGTAACTTAGATATTGAAGAACAGCATTTATTTAATTTGACCATTTTTGCTGTTTGTTTAATTGTTATCTTAGGTGTTTACATGCATGTTTAATGTACCCCTGTTCTGACATCCTATGACTTCCTATACTTTGAGACACATTGGCTAAAAAAAGCTTTGTTTTATGGTTATTTGTGTACAAATATATAAAACCAAACAGCTAATTCCAGAAAGCAAAATCATAATCAAATCATATTCACTATTAAAATGTTAAACCCTAAATATTAGTTGAAACATCAATAAGAACTATTAAAACACCACTAAAAGCTAATTTGAAAACATACAACGGATACTTTTCTGAAAATAGAACATTACAACTCCCAAGGGAATCTATACTGAACTTTTGAAATAACTCAGAGAAAACTGATTCATACATATAACAGGTGGAATTTCAAATGTGAATCGCCTCAGTAGGACATCCCCAGCAGTTTCCACATTACGTGGGAAAAAGTGCTTTAGATAGCCATGCAGTTTTGTCTATACAGGCCAAAGTCTTGAACTAAGAGACCATTAAGGCATTTGACAATATATTGTCAACTTTGAAATTCAGCTGCCACATTTTTTTAGAGAGTTAGAGGAGTTGAAAAGTTCAAGGTTATTCTGTGTGTCATATTAAAAATGTCTAGTTGCGGTTAATTGGTTCTCATTATTTATGAAGTGTAGAAGTGGGAGGAGAGAAGGTGGGTTCTGTGTAATGCACCAAAAAACTTTCACTTGTGAAATTACTTTTGAACATGCCAGATCTGTTCCTAATAAATCAATTGGAGAGATAAAGTCTCGGGGTGATTGATATCATGGATACTTTCTGGATGCTTGACAATTATTTCCCAAGTCTAACTTTTATTTTTTGAATGGGCTTGGCTGATGCCCCAGAGTTCTTTTCCCAGAAATGGACAAAGAGCAGCAATCAGCCGAAATTGGAGGTGTGCAGGGGGGAGCATGTGGGGGCCCTCCCTCGGGAGCATTAATTGAACCTGTTAGCCCTTGTTTGAAGGAGATGATGGATGCTTTCAGGGTGGCAGTAGGAGAAAGAGATTTGGGAGCTATACCGAAGCGTTTCAACTCAAGAAGTTGTTATAACCCAGAAGTAACCCAGCTGTCTGAAGAGAAATCTTTCTCTAGCCCCAGGCATATGGCTATTCTGTCGGATTGGAGGGAAGAGAGACAATTGGGGTCAGATTTCTCTCAAGAAGACAACCCCCAGATTATTCCTGGAAGTCCATCTAGGGCAGATTTACATCAACAGTTCCAGAATTTAAAGATGATAGATTTGGTCTCACAGTCTGTTTGGAGAGGTAGAAGCTTGAGACCACCTATATTCACTTATCCAAATATCGTGAGAAACGAGGAGACTATACAGATGCCAGTTGGAGGAAGCCAGAAAGAAGCATCAACTAACAGAGGTATGTTGCAGCCTCAGAGGCAATCCCCTCATTTCTCAGAAGGAATTTTGCCCCCTGCAGAGAGTATCCCTCCAGGGTAGGGATTTTATCCAGGCCAGGGGTGGATTCAATGCCAATGGCAGCCAGCACCAACACAGCCCTGGTCTGAAGGGGGGTTGCCCAGACAGCAGCCACACCCCCTCCACCCGACCAGGGAACCAGGCCACACCCATCTTCCTCCTGGCAACCACAACTGCATCTCCAACCAGAAGTGAGGCCACAGGGACCCCTATTCCAGAGAGGCACCACCCAGCCAGGATTCAGGGGGCCTACCCAGCCTACGTACGCCATCCTTCCATTCCACTACAACTTGCAGGAGCTTGGCAGGTGCCACCTCTGCAACCACGACCCAGGCCGGACCGAATACCCTTTGAGGCCATGTTCGATGGCTGCCACAAACATTTCAATTACTTCCTCACTCAAATCCGATCCCATATAGAACAATTTGGAGATCAATATGCCACAGAGCACGATTTGGTTACGGCCATAACAAATGGGATGAATGAAGGGGATGCTTCAGACTGGGTGGCCCAACTACACAACGAAAAGCCCCCAAATTACATGATGTAAACGGATTTATTCAATTATTAAGACTCAGACTTGAAAATCCAGACAGGGTAGCAGAGAATGAAGAGAAGTTAATGGAAATGAGGCAAGGCAAGTGACCATTGTCAGAATTCATTTGGGACTTTAGAAGGGTTGCAAGCCTGGATTGGCCTGAAAGAATGACTTTACACTATTTTAAAAGAGCCATTGATCCAGAAGTAAAGAAGGCCTGTGAAATTAGGGGAATCCCAGAGACCTTACAGTCGTGATATACCATCTCCCTCAGCTTAGATCGCAGCATCAACCCACACAGGAAACCCCTTCCGGCAGCTCGACTAAGAGAATTGTGGCGAGGAGACCGCCGACCGGATCAGCCGAACCTGCTAGTACCCGACCCACCATGGTGCTGAAATGTTACCGATGTGACCAAGCCAGTCATAGGGCAGCAGACTGTCTAGCCCCTGCTCCTGTGTCACAAGCTCCGCAGTCGAAGCCTAATACAGCTGTTAGAGGTCAGAAGAATCAAGGAAGACCTCTGGGCAGGGATGGGTTCGCCAAACACAGCTGGGAAAGCCCCCTCTGCACAGATGGGGGCAACGGACCACCAGACTGACACCACGTCCCCAAAAACCAGACCTGCAAAGATGACCCAATGTGAGTGATCCCGTCATATCTTTTACAGTCAAGGTCAAGTTAGTGGTACCAAACATGGGGGAGGCTGGGGAATTAGAAGCTATCATTGATACTGGGTGTTCCAGATGTCTTATCGGACTCCCCATCGTTGAACAATTGGGCATAAGGACTAACCCGCTAAAACGCCCAATCAGATTTGAGCAAGTGGATGGAACCTTAATGGGGGGGCAGCCACTCAATTGACGGAATTAATCAAGATGGAATTAGGGCCCCATCGCAAACTCATATGCTTCATAGTGGCCCCCAAGATGTCAGAATCAATAATACTGGGACTTGCTTGGTTAGACAAATGGGCCCCGACGATCAAATGGGAGGATGTATTCAGAGAAATCCTTATTGGACCGGGTCCATTGATCCCTCTTCCACCCACTACAAAGCCACCAGTCAGCTCAAACCCAGAGCCTGAGCCAGTATCCATGGCATCCGACCTTCTCCCAGATAACCACCAAGTACCGGACCAATACAAAGATTTGGCTAAAGTATTCAGTGAAGAAGAGTGTAATATTTTACCTCCCCATCGAGCCACTGATTGCGCCATAGAGTTAGAGCCCGGGGCGAAATTACCAAAACCAAAGATGTATTCCATGACGCCTGCTGAAATGGCTGAATTAAGGAAATACATCGACAGCAATTTGGAACGAGGTTTTATTGAGCCTGCCATATCAAGATTAGCTGGCCCCGTGTTGTTCAAGAAGAAAGATGGCAGATTGATATTGTGTGTTGACTTTAGAGGCGTGAATGCAGTATGTGTCAAAAACATGTATCCTCTCCCTCTTATGAAGGACTTATTGAATCACCTGTCAAAGGGCAAAGTATTCACCAAGCTAGATCTCAGGGAAGCTTACTACCGGGTCCGCATCAAAGAGGGAGATGAGTGGAAAACTGCTTTTAACTGCCCTCTGGGTAGCTTCCAATTCAAAGTCATGCCTTTCGGACTTCAGGGGGCTCCTGCAGTGTTTATGCAGCTCATCAATGAGGTGCTATACCCACACCTTTACCGGGGGGTCCTCGTGTACCTGAATGACATCCTTATCTTCAGCGAAACCATGGAAGAACATGTTCAATTGGTCCGACAGGTTCTAGAAAAACTTCTAGCCGCCAAATTATATGTGAAACTCTCAAAATGCGAATTCCACAAAGAGTCGCTAGACTACCTAGGCTACCGAATATTCAACCTGGGGATTGAAATGGACCCCAGAAAGGTGAAAGCGGTGCTGGACTGGCAACCCCCCAGAACCTGAAAACAACTTCAAAGTTTCTTGGGGTTTGCCAACTTCTATAGACAATTCATTCCATCCTTTGCTAAAGTTGCCCTCCCGATGACAGAGCTATTAAAAACGGGCCTGTCACCCACCAAACCAAAGCCAAGTCAACCCCTGGCTTGGACTATGGACTGTCAGAAAGCTTTCAAGACATTAAAAGCCTCTTTGCAACAGAGCCCATCCTCAAGCACCCAGACATGACCAAGCCTCTTATTGTCCAAACAGATGCAAGTGATGTAGCAGTGGCAGCTGTTTTGCTGCAAAAAGACTCTCAAGGCCGAGTGATGCCTTGCGCTTATGTGTCCAAAAAGCTGACAGACGCAGAGCAAAGGTGGGCGGTCTGGGAGGAAGAAGCATTTGCCAAACGATGGGCTTTATTGACTTGGAGGCATTTTCTAGAAGGGGCTCCAGAGACCTTTGAGGTCTGATCATAAGAACTTCGAGGCTCTAAAGACCCCTAGGAGATTATTGCCCAAAGTCCGCTTGGCCCAATATTTCAAGCAATTCAATTTCAACATTAAATATATCCCCAGAGGGAAAAACGTACTGGCGGATGATCTGTCCAGAAAACCTCAGTTTGACAGCCACTGAGAGAAAATAGTACAAGCCTTAATTTCAGATGCTCAATTGACCGGCCAAGTAACCACTAGAACCCAAGCTAACCACAACCTCAAACACCTGGAATATAGGCTGACTGCAGAATTGAAAATGCCCCTATTGACCAATCCTTGGTTTCTGGGCCATCAAACCGAGTTGACAATAAATGATGGGCTAGCTTGGAAAGGGACTAAGCATTATGTACCCACAACCCTAAGACTACTGGTACTAAAGCATAGCCACGACTCCTGGCTGGGAGGCCACTTCGCATTCCTAAAAACCCTACATTTACTAAGTAGACAGTTCTAGTGGCCAAAAATTAAACCTGATGTCAAGGACTATGTAAAAAGTTAATGAATGAACTCATTAAAGAAAGGGTGGGAAGATACAAAGAAAAGCTTTGAGTGAAGCTGCAAAAAATTATAAAAAACAGGCAGATAAACATAGATCCCTTCAACCACCTTTTAAAGTAGGGGACAAATTATATTTGTCGACCAAGTATCTTAGGTTGAAACTGCCCAGTAAGAAGCTGGGTCCAAAATTCTTGGGTCCATTCCCAATTTCAAAGATAATCAATCCAGTCACTGTCCAATTACGTCTTTCTCGACTATTGGGGAAAATTCATCCAGTGTTCTATTTTATAGTTTATTAAAACCAGCTACTACATTGATGATAAGACCACTACCACTCGCTCGCCCAAAACCGTTGATGGTACATGGGGAAACACATTATGAGATTCAAAAAATTCTTGATTATAGATTACACCATGGCCGATTGCAATATTTGGTCTTGTAGTTGGGTATAGAGTTGGGATGTTCATGCTGATCAATTGGTTAACCAATTCCATGAGGATTTTCCCCACAAACTGAAAGGTCCTCATGGTGGGGGAGGGGGTTAAGGACAATTTATTAACCCCTATATGTGTGTTGTTGTTTTTCTTTTAGGAGGAGTTTTCAAGGGGGGACGCCTGTCAGCTTTAAAATTCAGCTGCCACATTTTTTTAGAGAGTTAGAGGAGTTGAAAAGTTCAAGGTTATTCTGTGTGTTGTATTAAGAATTTCCAGGTGCAGTTAATTGGTTCTCGTGATTTATGAAGTGTAGAAGTGGGAGGAGAGAAGGGAGCAGAGAAGGTGGGTTCTGTGTAACGTGCCAAAAAACTTTCACTTGGGAAATTGCTTTTGAACATGCCAGATCTGTTCCTAATAAATCAATTGGAGAGATAAAGTCTCAGAGTGATTGATATCATGGATACTTTCTGGATGCTTGACATATATAGCTTTTGCAATATCAATATCATATGACCCTGCAGCCAGGGGTGGGATTCATTTTTTTAACAACTGATTCTGTGGGTGTGGCTAAGTTGGTGGGCGTGGCTTGGTGGTCATGTTATTGGCTGGGCATGGCCAACTCAATATCACTCATATCGAGGCACGCATCTCCTTGCCTGGCCTCTCATGACTGTGGGGATGTTGCAACAGTCATAAGTGTGAAAAATGGTCATAAGTCACTTTTTTCAGTGCCATTGTAACTTTGAATGGTCACTCCACACAAGCAAAGTACCAGCAAAGGAGGAAAAAAAGACTCTAGAGATGTTCCTGAGACAGGAAGTCTAGTCCTGCCAAGAATGTAATAAGGATTAATGGAGAGGCAGTTTCTGTAAGCAACACCAGAATATTTCCTTCCTGCCTTCCTTACAGGATTAGGCCAGTAATTTCTTCTAACAACCGGTTCTCTGAACTGCTTAGAATGTTAACAACTGGTTCTAGCGAATAGGTGCGAACTGGTAGAATCCCACCCCTGCCTGCAGCTGTAGTTGTATGTAAAATACATATATTACAGCATCTAAATGTTATATAACAAGACAGAGACAGCTGCTGTTAAATAGTATGTGTGTTTTGAACAATTTTTAAAAAAGGAAAATGAGTCAATCTAAGATTGGTAATATGTGCTGGGCTCACTGAAGATATATACAATATTTGTGTAAGAACCTCTTGGGTCCTACTTATTTGGTCATGACACAATCTATAGCAGCCTTCTCCAAATTGTCCCTTCCAGATGTGTAGGGACTATATGTCTCAAAATTACCAGCTGCTGTAATCAAAGCATATTACAAGCCAAGCAGACTCGATGTTTTTGTCTCGTAACATCTGGAAAGTGCCGCATTATGAAAGAATAAGAAATGAGATCTAAAATTCAAACACATTTTTTTATTTCAATTTCTTCTAGAGGCTGATTTAAGCAATCTGGACAGCATGCTGTATCTCTTGAAAGATGAAATCAGTTCCTCAAGGAAGAGGAGGAGATATCCAAGACATGCGGCTGATGATGACTACAACATTGAAGTGCTTCTTGGAGTTGATGACTCAGTTGTACAGTTCCATGGGAAGGAATATGTTCAGAAGTATCTTCTGACTCTGATGAATATTGTGAGTAACTTATTATTTTTTTGTGCCAGAGATTTAATTGAGTCCAACTGAATTACTTAACAGGTCTTGCAAATGTCTATTGTATTTATTTATTTTTATATTGAGACTGTCCAAACCCTTGACGATTCTGTGTGACTTAAAAATAAATGTGAAACAATGCAAAGGAAAAAAAAGATAGCTTGACCAAAAGAACAAACATCCCATCTTATACTAGAAAAAAACTAAAAAGGGGGATTCATAACCATGCTATTCCAAGGCCTGACAGAAGAAATACCTCAAACATTCAGATAATTACCTCTTTACCCAACTGTGAAGACTACGTTAGCATTTAAGCAATGCTTCATCTACTTCAAGTACTAGAGTATAAACCAAGTTGAGATCCGGAACTGTACAGACTATAGCTCTATTATATTCAACAACAGAAGTTCTTTACAATCAAACCTTTTCTACTGCTTCAAGTAGAAAGAGAGGAACCTTGCACATTGTAGAGCACTTTACTATATCCAAGACAGAAATAGAAAAGCTTGTTCTTGAAATCTTGAAGAGTTCTCATCAGTTAATGACAAAACTAGATAAACCCAATGTTCTATCTCAGTCAGTGCAGCTTTCTATATCTATAACCCTATACCTAAGTATCTCCTTCATGGATCACTGCCTTGTCATGGCAAAGGGGTTTGTGTAGCACAATGAAGCTATGAGCTATGCTGTGCAAGGCCACCCAAGATGGACAGGTTATAGCAGAGAGCTCTGACAAAATGTGGTCCACTGGAGAATTATCTTAGACACAGAGCACATCATGAGAAAGGCGGGGCTAGATGAATCACAAGTTGAAATTAAGAAAGGGAACTAAAGAGCCTCTTGATGCGGATGAAGGAAGAGAGTGCAAAAGTGGGCTTGAAATTCAACATTAAGAAAACTAAGTTCATGGCATCCAGTTCTCTCAATTCCTGGCAAATAGATGGGGAAGAAATTGAGGTATTGACAGATTTTATTTTCCTGGGCTCCAAGATCACCACAGATGGGGACTATAGCCAATAAATTAAAAGACACTTGTTCCTGGGGAAGAAAGCTATGGAAAATCTAACAGCATACTAAAAAGCACAGACATCACCCTGCCAACAAAAATGCATATAGTCAAGGCTATGATTTTCCCAGTTGCAATGTATGGCTGTAAAAGTTGGACCATAAGGAAAGCTGAGCGCCAAAGAGTTAAGGCCTTTGAACAATGATGCTGGAGAAGACTCCTGTGAGCCCTTTAGACTGCAAGGCAATCAAACAGGTCAGTCCTAGAGGAGATCAACCCTGACTGCTCTTTAGAAGGCCAGATCCTGAAGATGAAACTCAAATACTTTGGCCACCTAATGAGAAAGAAAGACTCACTGGAGAAGAACCTAATACTGGGAACAGTTGAGGGCAAAAGAAGAAGGGGACGGCAGAGAATGAGGTGGCTGGATGGAGTCACCAAAGCAGTCAGTGTGAGCTTAAATTGACTCCAGGGGATGGTAGAGGACAGAAAGCCTGGAGGAACATTATCCATGGGGTTGCGATGGGTGGGACATAATTTCGCAACTAACAACAACAACAATACCTAAGTATAACCCTAAGATTATTTGATCATATAATTCACTGGGGTTCCAATCCTATAAACACATAATAATGAATTAGATTCATTAGTGAATACATCCATTCACTAAATACATCTGAAAGTGGTTTATCAGTTTGTATTAATAGAACATAGCTTGGTAATTAGCTCTAAAATGTCTATATAAGAAAACACATATTTTAAACATAGATACAATCTCTTACAGTTGGAGTTCAAATAGAGCTCATTTACTTCAGCACCACAGCTTTCCATGCAAAGTCTATTTCAAATAGACTTTCCATGGAAGAATTGGGGAAACTCTTGCACAAATTGGAACAGGGCAGCATGAGGGCCTCTCTTCATGTTACTGCATGAAGACCGATGCAAAGAATGAGTTAAGAACTGCTTAACTCATTCTTTGCATCGGTCTTTACGCAAAAAGAAAATACACTGCTCAAAAAAATAAAGGGAACACAAAAATAAGACATCCTAGATCTGAATGAATGAAATATTCTCATTAAATACTTTGTTCATTACATAGTTGAATGTGCTGACAACAAAATCACACAAAAATTATCAATGGAAATCAAATTTAGCAACCCATGGAGGTCTGGATTTGGAGTTACACTCAAAATTAAAGTGGAAAAAAACACTACAGGCTGATCCAACTTTGATATAATGTCCTTGAAACAAGTCAAAATGAGGCTCAGTAGTTTGTGTGGCCTCCACGTGCCTGTATGACCTCCCTACAATGCCTGGGCATGCTCCTGATGAGGTGGTGGATGGTCTCCTGAGGGATCTCCTCCCACACCTGGACTAAAGCATCCCCCAACTCCTGGACAGTCTGTGGTGCAACATGGCGTTGGTGGATGGAGCGAGAGATGATGTCCCAGATGTGCTCAATTGGATTCAGGTCTGGGGAACAGGCGGGCCAGTCCACAGCATCAATGCCTTTGTCTTGCAGGAACTGCTGACACACTCCAGCCACACGAGGTCTAGCATTGTCGTGCATTAGGAGGAACCCAGGGCCAACCACACCAGCATATGGTCTCACAAGGGGTCTGAGGATCTCATCTCAGTACCTAATGGCAGTCAGGCTACCTCTGACGAGCACATGGAGGGCTGTGCGACCCCCTAAAGAAATGCTACCCCACACCATTACTGACCCACTGCCAAACCGGTCATACTGGAGGATGTTGCAAGCAGCAGAATGTTCTCCACGGTGTCTCCAGACCCTGTCACGTCTGTCACATGTGCTCAGTGTGAACCTGTTTTCATCTGTGAAGAGCACAGGGTGCCAGTGGCGAATTTGCCAATCTTGGTGTTCTCTGGCAAATGCCAAACGTCCTGCATGGTGTTGGGCTGTAAGCACAACCCCCACCTGTGGACGTCGGGCCCTCATACCACCCTCATGGAGTCTGTTTCTGACCGTTTGAGCAGCCACATACACATTTGTGGCCCGCTGGAGGTCATTTTGCAGGGCTCTGGCAGTGCTCCTCCTGTCCCTCCTTGCACAAAGGCGAAGGTAGCGGTCCTGATGCTGGGTTGCTGCCCTCCTATGGCCTTCTCCATGTCTCCTGATGAACTGGCCTGTCTCCTGGTAGCGCCTCCATGCTCTGGACACAACGCTGACAGACACAGCAAACCTTCTTGCCACAGCTCGCATTGATGGCACTGAGGCACTTGTGTGTGGGTTGTAGACTCCGTCTCATGCTACAACTAGAGTGAAAGCACCGCCAGCATTCAAAAGTGACCAAACCATCAGCCAGAAAGCATAGGAACTGAGAAGTGGTCTGTGGTCACCACCTGCAGAACCACTCCTTTATTGGAGATGTCTTGCTAACTGCCTATGCTTTCCACCTGTTGTCTATTCCATTTGCACAACAGCATGTGAAATTGATTGTCAATTAGTGTTGCTACAAAAGTGGGCAGTTTGATTTCACAGAAGTGTGATTGACTTGGAGTTACATTGTCTTGTTTAAGTGTTCCCTTTATTGTTTTGAGCAGTGTATAACTCAACCCAACAAAAACATAACTGTAAAAGACAGGCCAGAAATAAAAGTTTAAATAAGCAAAAAAAATTAGTAAGAGAACATCTGTCTGATCTTGATGAAAACAAATCACCGGGGCCTGATGGATTACATCCCAGAGTTTTAAAGGAGCTGGCAGAGGTCATCTCAGAACCACTGCACCATATCTTTCAAAAATCCTGGAACACCGGGGAACTACCAGAGGCCTAGAAAAGAGATGATGTGGTTCCCATCTTCAAAAAAGGAGAGAAAAAAACAGACCCAGGAAACTATAGACCAATCAGCCTAACATCAATACCCAGGAAGATACTGGAAAAGATAATAAAAAAACAGACCTGCCAACATCTAGAAACAAGTAAAGTAATAACTAGCAGTCAGCACGGGTTTGTTAAATACAGATCATGCCAAACCAACCTTATTTCATTCTTCAACATAGTAACTAAATTAGTAGACCAGCGAAATACTGTGGATATAATATATTTAAATTTCAACAAGACATTCAACAAAGTAGACCACAACCTACTTCTTAGTAAGCTAGAAAAAAGTGGAATAGATAGCACCAGCACGAGATGGACTCGCAACTGGCTGACAAACTGTACTCAATGAGTAGTCCTTAATGGGTCTAAGTCTACATGGAGGGAAGTAAGCAGTGGGGTGCCACAAGGTTCCGTCTTAGGCCCAGTACTCTTCAATATCTTCATTAATGACTTAGATGAGGGAATAGAAGGGGAACTTACCAAATTTGCAGATGATACTAAGCTGGCAGGAATAGCTAACACCCAAGAAGATAGGCTCAAGATCCAGATGGATCTTTACAGACTCAAACACTGGGCCTTATCTAACAAAATGAAATTCAATGTAGAGAAAAGTAAAGACCTACACTTAGGCAAGAAAGACCAAAAGTACACATATAGACTGAATGAAACCAGGCTCAATAACAGTAACTGTGAGAGGGATCTTGGAGTCTTAGTGGACAAACAGCTAAATATGAACCAGCAGCAGCCCAAAAAGCTAATGCAATCCTAAATTGTATTAGAGGGATACTGTCAAGATCAAGGGAAACACTAATACCACTCTATAAAGCCTTAGTAAGACCACACCTAGAGTACTGCATCCAGTTTTGTTCACCATATTATAAAAAAAGATGTTGAGACTCTAGAAAAAGTACAGAGAAGAGCAACCAGGATGATTAGGGGTCTGGAGACTAAAACATATGAAGAACGGTTACAGGAACTGGGCTTGGCTAGTCTAGTGAAGAGAAGGACCAGGGCAGGCATGACAGCAGTGTTCCAATATTTGAGGGGCTGCCACAGAGAGGAAGGGGTCAAGCTATTTTCTAAAGCACCTGAAGGCCAGACAAGGAATAATGGATGGAAACTGAACAAGGA